CCGGGTCGGGCCAAGTTTAGTTACTGAGTCTTTCTGTATAGTAAGCCTCAGTAATAGCCCGGAGTTGGGAAGTTGGCGGTATTTCACCCCCGTGCCTCGGAGAGCATGTAAAGCCGTCGGTCCTGCGCCTAACTCTCACTGGTCGTGTCGAGCAGTCGTCCGACCGGAGTATGAGAGTGACAGGAATAGAGAGTGCACTTGTGCACTATAATATCTCCTGCGCAGTTGGCTAGTCTCAATGAGATTAGCCGCCGTGACCGGAATCGGTCAGGAGAACATCATCATATTGTATGATTTTAAATTTTAATTTTAATGGCGTAATAGATCGGCATTTATGTGAGGTAAAAAATTATTCATGTGACAGTTATATGACAGGTACTAGAATATTTTATGCTTGTCATTATCAGCAACGACTATAAGTGTGTAGGGTGTAATTTGGATCTTGTTACGCTGGACGCTGGCTGTACAGAGTGAGTTTTCTCTACAGCAAATATAGTAAAGATTATAGCTTAGAAGCATTACTACGGAGCATTGGTTTAATCGATCGTTATTTAACCGATGAATATATAATATTTAATGACGGAGTAGAGTAGCGACCATATTGATAAATTGTATTCATGTTAAGATTATAATATAACAGAAACGGATGAAGTAAACATAATCAACCGATAATCTTATAGATGAAATTGTAGTATCTATCTATGGTACCAAAATAGCTTTTCTATACCAAGCTTTTAATATTATTTGATTAGCCTCTATGCTTTTCTCAAATTCTGCAATTCAATTTCAAAACTGATTTTAATGATTATTGTCCAATGAGTTTTTATTCTATTAAAAGAAGGAATACTTACGGGATAGGAAATAAAATATTAATAAGGATTCTGTTGTCTTGTGGGCATTATTCAATTTTTAAATTCCAAAAAAGGCTTTTGAGACTTCTATCTACATGTATACAATGGTATCCTCCAAAGGCCATGAAGATTCAAATTCAAAATATTTTACTCAGCATTAATTTTTCCTGGACGTCGTGAGTCCATTACCAGTTCGGAAAGAAAAAGCTTCAGTTCTGAGAAGAGCTGGCGAAAGAAACTCAGAGGGACTTATATTACTTTATTTTTTTGTAAGTTAAAATTATAATGTTCAATAATTCTATAAAGTTGAAGTAGTCGGCGGCGATCACTTCATTCCCGTGGCGTATGCCATCTTCTATAAAATCATTAATTGTATAATAATTTAAATAATGACACAAACGTTCTTCAAATTTTTTTTAATTTGGCGTTAGAAGTTTTATAAACGATTTCTGGGATCCTGTTGTAAAAACATATACATTATTTAGACTTCGTGTAATCGGATTACAGGTACAAGTTTGTGTTTGTTTCTAGTATCAATGTCATGCATAAGATCCTTCCTATCCGAACTTTTACAATTTCTGTCTGCCTATTTGAAAGTGAATCATTGAAAAACGGTTTTACTAATGGGTGGTTTAGGCCCAATGTAAATAACGCTTAGGCCCTGTGGTAGAAATTTGTATTAATTGTACAGATTTCAGCACATATGTCCTTATATAACTTTTAAAATATTTCTTTAGTAGGCAAAATTTTAATACAAAATTCAAAATATAAGCATTAAATCGTTTAGTAAAACATATAAAACAATTTAATTTTTCAATTCATGTTTCATTCGTATTTATTTCTGAAAATTTATGTGTAATATCTCTACGTTACTTATTCTTTGGTTCGTAATAACGTATCATGCAAGTAAGTAGTAATATAAATTTTGCTTTGTTTACTATGTATCAATATAAGAGGAAACAATTTTTCAAAATATGTCGATTAGGTATTTTACAGAAATAAATATACTTATTACATATACTTATTTCTGTAAAAGATCTCCGATAGAAATATATTACGTGTCCTAGTGGTTAAATCTTTTATAAGTAAAGTAATAATTTAAATAAATAACATATTATAAATATTATATAAACAACATTTTTCTAAAATGTATAAAGATTATAGAGCAAAAATAATTTTATATATTAGACATAAAACTATCTTTTTGGATTTTTCGCGGATTTATTTTGATTTTTGATTTTTATAGCGTCATCACGGGAGAGTCTCTCCCATGATCATCAAATCGGAGAAGATAGTTTTATTTAAAATGTGAAGTATTCGCGTAAATCTAAGAAAGTATCATATGAAATTAATTTTTAATTTAATCTTTAATTGCACCTTTTTATATATTTACCAACGGACTTATCCTCACATCGTTTGGGTGTCCCTATTGCTGTGATTTTACTCCATGTTATAATCTAATCCATTTACTAAACCTTCAAGTAAGTCCAGCCGACTCAGCGTCACGAGGACACTTAAATATTTTAAGTTTTTTCATGAACTAAAATATTATCTCAGTAAAAATACTAAAATGCATCAGTTAAAAATGGAAAAATAAGAGCAATTAACACTCATTAGTAACATCCGAGCTAGCGCTAATACGTTATTCATATCGTTATTAAATGTTAATTCATCTTTTCAAAACTGCACACTTTCACAACCTTAGCACTCGCCAGGGATTGGTTAGAAAGACAAAATAGTAACTTTCACACTCAATCTATAGTTACATAGTAAATACTATGTATGAGATAATAACAATTATAATTAGTTGATTAATTAAAAGAGGAATCATCGATATATATGTATATAAAAACAATTGCATTTTATGTTGAGAAATATACTGAAAAGTGTTTATATTTCTTCGACCGTATTCTTATGTATAAGTAAAAATGGAACGCTATAAAATATTTATATACATAAATTATGGGGATGTACATAATTTTCACAATACTATGACGCTTAGGTTTTACAATTTCAGCGAAGTGCATCGCGAACAGTAAGGCACCGTTGAGTTGCGTGCGTGAAGCTCTACCTCTAAGCAGTTGACCACCGTCCGGCGAATACAAAGCACGCTCCACACGCTACGCTTAAGTCATTATCGTTACTGGCACGCGAGAAATAATTAAAACGCCCAATTAAAAAGAAAACATTGTCTATGGATGTTACGCGCGCAATCTAAATTTCGAACGATACTGTTTGGAATGTGATGTGTCTTTTTTTCTGTGATAAACATCGTGACAAATAAAATGTTTTAATTTTATTTGTAGTTAAGTAGTTTATATTTTTGGATTTATACAAGCTGTTACGGTTTTATCATCAGTTTATTATGGTGAGTAAAATGACATTAATATTTTTTGTATGTAAATATTTTCATATGAAAAAAAGTATTTTTTATCAATTAATATATTTTTTAATTTAAAAAAAAATAATTTTCACTTAGCATTATTAATACCATAGCTTAAAATATTAAATAGGAGTAATATTTATAAGAATTAATAGCTACAATAATACTAAAGGTATTAGGGAAAAACATTACAATATTTGTAATATAAACACGCTACGTTGTACCAGGGGGGTGATTATTTCTAGGCTTTTATTAACTTAAAAAAATCTTTTCATTACAAAATCTAATAATTCACTACTAACAATATGTAGCTGAAAAGATTGTAAGATTGAAAGACTGTTTTCTTTTTGTTAATTTGTACGCGCGAATCTCTGGAATACTAGTTACAGTACTACTTATTGGGTAGTAGAAATTTGTTCAGCAGTTTAACCGTGATAAAAAGCAGACGTGACTTTTCACGCTTATAATATAATTAGTATATTTATTTGGGAAGTCGTTACGAATTTTAGGAGCGGAGTAATTACGAAGCCTCGAGAAATTTCAGTAAGAGTAGTTACTAGTTAGTTAATATAATTAGATATACATATAATGTTAGTGTAAAAAAATTAAGATTGTTGAAAATAATAAACTCTTGCAGAGCCAGCAACTAGTAATCGATTATTTAAATATATTAATAATTTGTTACAAAATAATTTGAAATATTTAAGTGCAAGTTAAAATATCTTCAAAGTAATTTTAACGAGAATGAAAGAGCATTGAGTGTGACGCTTTCCTCATAAGAGCTCAATAAAACACCGAGAAACTTATGTTACTCCAAAAACGTTGAATATTAAGTTATAACAAATGAAAGTGTAGATATGCGATTCCACTTAAAACTCGGTTTGTAAGCAAGTTTTAGTTTATGTACTCACTTCATGATTCATTTTCTTTCGTTTTTGAAATTTATGAACCAGTTAATTTAATAGAGCATATGTTTATTTATATATATGTACTAGCAGAACTCGCGGTTTCGCTCGCGCTAAAACTAAAAAAAAAATGCGAGTGTGTGCAATTCACACATCGTAGAAGTGAAACTTCAGAAAATGATATGAATATAGAGTATCAGGAGTAGGATAATCATAAGGATTTTTTTATATTATTTTTACCAAGTTTAAAAGTTATTTTACATTTTATTTGACATAAATATAAACATTACATAATAATCAGTAATGAATTTTATTATTTTTCACTTCCTGTGTAATGTATTCTATCAAATAACAACGGTTACCATGGCATCATCGCAATGTATTCTATCTCATTCTATCGCCGGCTTAATCCTATATATTTTTATGTTTGTCTCTTTTTACTGTCGCATTTCCGTTTCATCGAGTTTCAAATCACAACGATTCTAAAGAAGTTTCACTTCAAAAACTCTTCTATGGGATGAATTTCAAAAAATGCTAAAAAATGTATTTTTTTAACTGTTTCTGTAATTCTTTTTGTTTCAAGTTTCAAGTAATTCTGATCATAAATAATTTTCCCGTAGGAATGAGGTAATCTCCCGCAGTAAAAAGTAGCCTATGTCACTCTTCTGCCCTCCAACTATCTCCACACAAAAAATCACGCGATACCATCAATCTGTTTCGACGCAAAAGAAGGACAAACAAACAAACACGTTTGTAATATTAGTATGGATATACAAACATAAAAACTGTATTAGGTTATCTATATAAAGTAATTTTTAAGGGAGTCTCAGATTCCTCTCATTAAAACTGGCGTTTGGAACGATGAGTATAGATGAAAGAACCGACGAGAGAAGAACGTTCCAGTACAACATTGTTCCACAGGTTTTTTTTTATAGCGACAACATGTCAGTGATGGTAACGCTGCATGTGACGAGAAGAACGATGGAAATGAATGTAGATAGAGGAAGACCGAAGAAAAGATGGATAGAATGTGTGAGACAGGATAAGAAAGACGAAGGAGTGAATGATGAGATAAAGAGATTGCTCTTTAGGGAAGAGTTATAAGGAAGACTTACTGCGCCGACCCGAAGTTATTAGGGAAATAGGGAAATGATACTATAAAATACATTACAGAGTGCGAGAGTTTACGGTACATATTTTTTATAAAAAGGCATAAATAAAATTTTTATTAAGGAAAAATTAAAAAATAACATTTTTCTCTGTATTTGATACAATTTTACTGTGTTTTGATATTAGTTATCGTAAGAATAATAATATAAATAAGCGATAAGTATGTCAAACAAACTTTTCAGAGGCAAAATGAGACAACCGGCATGTTAGGAATTAATATGCTTCTCTGTTATGGGAATTTAAGGTTATGGGAAAAGTTATACGGCAAAGATAGGAAGAAATAAGGCTCCTCTTATTTGGATTCCGTCTATAAAGCTAATTAATTACTACTCATTGAACGTGAATTCCTTACTACGCACAGTGTAAAATATCATATTCTTTATACTAAATCTAAGTTTGGTAATACAATATTATCTTTTAAGATAATTGATACAATCTTAATGTAACTATAGTTTAGGAATGTTGATATTCTGTATTGATCAAATTAATAGGTATGATAGTCTAGGTTCCTGTGTATAGCGTTTGTTTCACAGACCTTCGACGTAGATAAAGTAAGTACTACTCAATGCATATCGGTTTATTTTCAAAAAGTTTAATTTAAGAGAAAGAATCTACCCGGGAACGCATTAATATCTTAGAATTATTTGAAAGTTGTTATTTCAAATTATTATCATTGCAAGCGTAGGTGGAACAAATCTAAAGTTGTTCTTTGTTGAAACAACAAGCGTATAGTGATCGACTGACAGATTAAATAACGTATCTGTCAACAAACAGGGTCTGGAATCTTGAACACGTACCATCACCACTATATTATTAGTTATTAACCTTAGTGGTCTTGTGACTAGCATGTACGACTGCGGATTGAGAGGTCATGGATTCGAGTCTCAGGTTGGGCCAAGAAATGTTGAAATTTTCTGCCAAGAAATTCTCAGCAACAGTCCGAAATTATGAAGTTAGCAGTGTTTCATGCCCTGTACCTCGTAGAGCAACGAAGCCGTCTGTCCCACCGGAGTATAAGAGTGACTCCTGTCACTCTCTATTCCTATAGAGAGTATACTTATGTTTGCGCGTATTCATGTGTACGATATTAACTCTTGCGCAAATCGGTCGACAGGACTATTACTACCTGTACCGGGCCCGCGGTGTGGTTGCTCTATCCGCTTAAATTTAGTGGCGAGATACACGAATAAGAAGTTTGTTAATAAAGTGGATAACACGAAAATATTATCTGTGCTGGAATACCCATGTCACAGATCATATAATACTAATATTAGCCATATGTACCAGTTTTTATAGCGATCGATTGATTTGCAGTAAAACTGTTGGAAAAAACCTTATATGGATACATATGTGTAAAAAATCAAAATATTTTTGGACGTTTACGATGGTGCATATAAAATTTCTATTTTCTATAGATAGCTTAAGACTAAAATATAATTTATACACATCTTTAAAGCTTTTTGTTATTATTGCTAGTATTTTTTTAAGTTTCTTAAGTTTATGAGTAGCGTAGATGTGTGAATAGCGCCCTAGTTAACGAAACCAGACACACTTTCATGTGATGTGTCAAAATAAGCAAGTCATCATTGCTGTCCAAGTAAATTAAATTACTTATACAGAATTATTTATAACGTTGGATTCTTAAATATCACAGTTATTGATAAGTTCCCATAAATTTGAAAGTAAATGTGTTGAAATGTTTATATCACTTTTCCTTACATTGTAAATTTATAAAAATGTACCTTTTAAATGTTATTAGCCAGTGTTAGCCATGTATATTTTATTGTAAATTTTTCGATGTTTTAATACTTATTATCCTATTCCGGACAAAAAATCAAATATCATAAAAATTAGTCCAGCCTTTCTTGAGTTATAAATGGTGTAACTAACATGACTTTGTTTTATATATATATATATATATATATATATATATATATATATATATATTTATTATTATTATTATTATTTTATATTTTTTCTCTTTATTAAAACTTTTGAAAAAAAATAAATAAAAACCGACTTCAAACAAAACCACTAAAAAGTAAAAAATAACTGATTGTAGTTTTCATTTACTATACATACCTAATCAAATATTTTCGAAGTTCTATTTTTGAAGTTCCACCTATCCACCTTCTGGCCTTACCATCAGATCAGGTCAACAATACTGAACGACTGTACTATCAACGGAAATAGAAACACTTGTAAAGTTTCAAGTCAATATGATAATTAGAAGTAGGTTAAATTCATCATTAGCTATTTTTCCACCCTTAGGAGTGGTTTTTTTTTTAAATTTAAATGGGACCAATCTGGAAGTATACACTTTCAAACAAAACAAAAATTGTCGAAATCGGTTAATAAATGACGGAGTTCTGAGGTAACAAACACAAAAAAAATACAGTCGAATTGAGAACCTCCTCCTTTTTGAAGTCGATTGAAAAATTAGCTGAATTAGTCGAGCAGTATTCGAGTTTTGCGCTTAGCAACATTATTTTTTATTTATATAGAATTAATAAATCATACTTTCAATAATGTTCATATAAAACATTGTAAACAAAAATATGAATACTAGAAATAAAAGTTCATCAAAACTAGATAAAGATGCACTTTGACTAATGTATACTTTTATGACTCTACTTTCGACTACATAGAAATTTCAAGAGCCAAACATTTGCTATCATAAAAATTTTATGATCTTATCGCGAGCGTTTTTTCAAAAAGCAATAAAAAAATAATGTTTTTTTATCGGAGTTTCTATTCGTCCCTTAATAGGACGAATAAAAAATAATTATTCGTACTTTAATGGGACGAATTATTTTAAGTAAGAATTATTTTAAGTACGAATAGCAACAACCATTTTATAAATTTACAGTTATTTATCGGAAATACATAGATATGTTTAGCTTAGCTTTAAAGTGCAAGCTAATTAAGTTTTTACTTATTTATCAATCGAATGCACTAGAAATAAGACGAACGTATTACAAACGAAAACTCGCATTCACTTTGAAATGAAATTTAGCATACTTTTAAAATGACTTGTACTTCGTCAATGAACCTTTTGACATTTAATTTATTATATACAAGTTTAATCAAATATGGGTACATATTGTATATATCTTGATTACATTGTTTGTGTTATTAACAACAATTTTTAAAAGTAATAATTATCCAGTTTTGTATATTTTATAAAAAATAGAATGATCTTTATATTTGGTTTGTTATTTTTTTGTATTGGTTAACTGGAAATTAAGTTTAATTAAATTAATTTCAACTTATATGAAGACGTACGATATGCGTGATCCATGAAATAATATTTTACTTATTCGTGCAATTTTATATTCTAGCTAATGAATAAAAATTGATAAATCCCTTCAATTAATGACCGTATGAAGTAAAGGTAATATTTACGAGCACGCAACGACCCAAATTTCATCCGTACGTCTTTATAATTTAAGTGTACTGGGTTAGTGTATCAACTTTTTACAACGATACGGTAAAAAATAATTAATTAGTGCACCAAATTAATTGAAATACTTTCACGTAATGATAAATATTGTCATACATAAATATCATGTCAATGCAAGTTTACCTATATGAATTTATTTATTTATTTCTTAATTCTCGATCACAAGTTTTTTGTCGAATGCAAAGGAATTGTAAGAAGCTGACTCAAAACCCAAAAAAGGCAGAAATAATAGGAATTGACACCTAAAATACCTACACGTAATAAGTGAATAAGATATTTTTTTATTACCAGCAACTCCAAACCTTTTACGATCTTTTATTATATACATATAATACGAAATTTTACATACTAATAATAAACATAATATTATTTAAATGCACTCTTACTTTTATTTAAACAGTGTCCACAGGGAAGTAGCAAAGAGTTGGATTCATTAAAATTGCAAATCAGAATTATTGTCCGAATAGGGGCATTGCGTTACGACAAACAAAAGGCGAATTTCTCTTTAGTGTACATGTCACGTTTGAATCATCCAAGGATTACTTTTCAAGTTCAAAATGAGTAAGCGGAAGTTTTTATTGTTTCCAGCGAAAGTTAAGGTTAAAGGTTGTTCGTTCGCAAACACAATGAAATCGAGAGTAATAAATACTTTTTGATGACATTCAATTTATATTATTTATTTTTAGGGTTCCGTACCCAACGGTTAAAACGGGATGCTATTACTAAGACTCCGCTGTCCGTCCGTCTGTCTGTCTGTCTGTCTGTCTGTCTGTCTGTCCATCTGTCACCACTCACCAGGCTGTATCTTATGAACCGTGATAGTTAGACAGTTGACATTTTCACAGATGATGTATTTCTGTAGCCGCTATAACAACAAATACTAAAAAAAACATAATAAAACAAATATTTAAGGGGGCTCCCATACAACAGACATGATTTTTTTGCCGTTTTTATAGATTTCAACCTTTCGTGCGCGAGTCCGACTCGAACTTGGCCGGTTATTTTAATTATGTAGATATAAAGAATATTTGACATGTTTGCTGTAAAGCATTCGAAACGTCGGGAACCAAAAATCAAAATAAAACCACAAAATAATCCAAAAAGATAATTTTATTTAATATGTAGGTCATTTTGACATGTAGACGTCGATAATTGCTAGGTCTTTTATTTTCTGTTTAAATTCACTTTACGTATTTGTTTATGATAAGATAGATTCTTGTTTCGAAAATTTCGAAGTTGTTGGTTAAGAAAGATGGAGGACTTTTGGTTTCAACATAAAGTTTGTTTCTCTAGATTAGAATTGTTATGATTATTTAATTTAGAACAAGACTACTTTCTATAAGAGAGGAAATTAATACTTTCAGTACAGTCTATCTAGCAACGCATTGAAAATTATATGTGATGCGATATCGTAAATACTAGGAAAACGGTAGAAAAATCCATTTAAACGTGTAATGATCTACTTGCG